TAAGGACCAGCCAAGGACCCGCCAAGGACACATCAAGCAAAGTGGGGACATTTTGAATGGCTGCTACTTTATCAGTCTCATTTTTCGGGCGACAGTCTTACCAGCAGTGTGATCGGAGACCCAAGCGTTGATGATGCCGACCGCCTGCTCTGGTTTGCTGAAATCTATCTGGTGGGGGGGAGTCTGGAAGGTCTTGGTCAGGGCGTGGCGGAACCTCTTCTCCAGACTCATCTTCCTCTCCACCATCACCCCACTGGCTACGTCCAACCCGTCCTCACTGGCCAGATCGCGCTGCAGGAGCCGCTGCTGTCGAGGCATTCCTCGCTCTGCAGGACGATCACATGGAGAGAACATTACCGGGTTTCAGAGGGGCTGATTTAAAGGACAATCATGTCGTCTCCTTTGGATGCAAATAAATCGATTTATCCTCATTCTCTATTGCTTGAGGACTGCAGCTTCTCTCCATTTAATGCATGAGCCAATCACCTCGTAGAGAAAAGCCCAGAGCTTTAGTCAAGGCCTTTTGCGTGTTTCCATTTGCCCCGATCTGAGCCATGGCCATGACGCTGGCGATGCCGTAGGGGGAGAAAGCCAGGTTGGTGTCAACAACATCTGCTGCAAGCTGAGAGAAAACCTTCAGGCCAAAGTCGGTTTGTTTATCCTGTAGGGAGGCCAGGGCCCCTCTGCTCAGGGCCACCAGCAGGAACACGAACCCAAACATCATGCTGTCGAGACACAACCAGAGAAACCTGTAAAAAACAGGGAGGAATCTGAAAACTGGGCTGTTTAAAGTGATCTTAATGACCTGTGACTCGGCTGCAGAATGAGAAAAACAACGCTGTAAATCTGGATGCATTACTTCTATGTTTAGAAGCAGCAGTTTTTATATTTAGGTTTAATTAAAATATGTTCTTCTACATGTTTACAGTTATAAAAATAAAACTTTTTTTCATCCAACAAACAAAACAGAATCAATAGTTTAAACAATTTTAAAAGAGTTTAGAGGCTTAAATGTTCCACAAACATTCAAATAATTTAATTTTAGATAAATATATTTTTCCCCTATATCTGTCAGTGAACTCCGCTTTATTTGTAGGTTTAAAGAGAAATTAGATTTTACCAAATATTTCAACCTGTGGTCCCAAAAAACTACAACAGACTTTTAAAGCCCCTCTAAAAATACACAGAATGGCTTCAATCTAAAGTACATCACTTTTTAAAATAGTATTTAATACATTTCTCATTTTAAAAGTGCTTTAAAATTAAATGGTACATTTATGATTTAATAGTATAAATATGTTTTAGATAAATATTATTTCACAATACTTTGATCTTCTTCATTGGATTTTCATATTTAAGTACAGTGGTGTTGAAAGTGTTCATGTTTATTCCTCCAGTATAAATCCTGCTGTTTAAAAACACTTTAATAGAAGTTAGAGGATCAACTTCAGCTTTTTACTCCAGTAAAAGTAAACATTTTAAAACTACTTAAAGTATAAAAGTTAAACTAATGCAGAGTAACATTAAGGCCAGAAGCTTTACTGCTCTACTCTATTAAAGGAACATTTTTCTATAATTCTGGATGAAAACTTCTTTAGACTTCATTTTCTTATTTTTATAATTAATGCTAACAGAGTCACATTTAACTTTGCATCGTCTTTAAAAACTATTTATTTTGGTGTGTGGTGAGCAACAGGTTGGGGCAGCACCGAGTCCAACCACAGAGAAATTAATCGACTGGATGAAACTAATTATTTTGATGTTTTTTTTTATTTTTTTTTAAATACCAATGAGAATGAAAATTGAGATTTATGAAATGATTTCTTTTCCACTTTCTGTTTACAGAAAACTTAATATAAAAACTGTTTTTCTTTTTTCTTTTAAGTAAAAAGACATTTTACAGTACAGGATTTTATCGTCTATCTTTTAACTTTTCAACAATATATTATTCTTATGCAATTTTTTAAGGTCCACATTTGTGGAACCATTTCTTCAATAATCCGTTTGCTGCTATAAACACCAGAATTTCCCCATTGAGGGACAATAAAAGGATTTTCTATTCTATTCTATTCTATTCTATTCTATTCTATTCTATTCTATTCTATTCTATTCTATTTTATTCTATTCTGATTGATTTGCTTTTTTCATTTATAAATTAAACATGTTCTTTATGCGAAACAATAACGGTAAAAAAATGAACTCCGTTGTTTTTATAAAATAAGAGACATTAATGAATGAAATGATCAGTGATCAGGGGCCCCGCGGCCCCTTTGCCCCGTGGCCCCGAGGGTCTGCAGCTCAAACAATCCTGAACAAACACCAGCAGAATAAAAACACTGATACCAGCTGAATCGTCTACATCTAAATAAAACATTAATGTAGAGAAAAAGAAAGAATGAAAGCTTAAAGGTTTTTCTCTAGAAAGCAAAGATCTGTAGATTGTTGCTCTTACCTTTGCTCTGCTTCAGATGGAAAAACTCTGTGAACTGCTGCTGCTTTGCTCTGAAAAACCAAACAGGTTTGTCTATTTGTACCGGCTGCCTGGATGGGGCCTCGCCCCCTCAGACAGAGCCCAGGGGATGATGTCATCTCGCGCCGTCTGCACTCACTTCCTCCCTGGGAACTGAGGCGTCCCGTTTTGTGCCCTGACTAA